TTGCCAGTTACCTTTTAAAGTTCGATCCGTCGAACTTTTCGATTTCTCACCGTGGTGGATGTAAACCGCAGGATGGACAGCAGGATGAGCCAGTGCAGCTTGGACAAATTCGAGGCATAGGCAGAGTTTTTGGCGATGTTGTCGCAGCTGCACATCGACACCATCGTTTCAAGAAGCCCACATCCACGACTTCTTTACCCGTAGCCATTTGAATTTCTAAAAGCGCGAATCTGTTTTAAGATTGTTGCGAAATTCAAATCGGCATCGCAACTTCCAACTCAAGGGTGTTCTTTGAGCATCAATTTCCCATTCATTCACCCATCAATTTATCCCATATTTCCAACAGAACAATTTATCCCGTCTATGGCATGAGCTGCTTCTACAAAATGGTCCCTCCAGACTTTGCACAAACTTTCGCCGAATGGTCCGCTCACCTTCTACAAACAGGTCCATCTAAGTAGATCGATGTCCTCATTTTCTATAAGCTGCTCACATTCTATTAAACCATTCAAACGTTGACAAACCTTTCGTTCTATAACTTGTTCGTCTTCTACAAAAGTCCTTCCCAACTTATAGACACATTTACCGTCCGTTTGTTTTGTTCTCCCTCTATAGAGCAAACCCTTTCCATGCTTTTGAACTTCTCTATTGGGGGGGAGAGACACCAATAGGCCCAACCCAGCTCCTCTCTCTCATCAAAACGACCAACACTGCTGTAACCCTGCGGGAGTGCAAAATGATAGTGACACCAATCCTGAAATTTCCACGTATTTTTCTATTTTTTCAGCTTTCTTCTCTAAAATAGATGCTTTCGAAGTTCTCTTTTTTATCTCCTTATTTCTCGTTTACTAATTTAAATATGAATAAATGATACAAATGATTCATGAACTTTGATCCGATATACAATTTGATCGCTGAACTTTGGCCCAATGTGCAAAGTAGTCCATGAACTTTCAATTTGCTCAATATGATCCCTAAAATTTTGATTCACGTTTAATTTAAGGACAACATTGAATGTGTCCCTAAATTGTATGAAAATATTCAATGTTGTCCTTAAATTAAATGTATACCAAAACTTCATGGATCATATTGAACAAATTTAAAGTTCAATGACCATATTGCACATTTGAACAAAGTTTAGGGACCATATGTATCATTATGCCTTTAATTATTAAAAGATTCTCTTAAGGCTGCATCTAAGAGACTTCCTTTGTTTTGTGGCTTGCAGTTAGGCCCGATCCTCGAACAATTCGAGATAGCCCAGCGAGACGTAGAGAACTATGCATCAATGACCGATACATCATGTCTAATCCATCAAGAGAATAGTATATGTCGAGGATACATTGTATATGTTAGAAGTAGACACCATTTTAAAGGTTAGGCGACAGTATAGATGAAGAATACACCGTCTTTGCCATGAAGGGAGTTGATCATCGCAATAGCAGGGTTTAAAAAAACGAACGAACGAACGAACACGGGTTTCTTTTGTTTTTGGTAACTTATGACATTTTCTTCGAAGGTGTAAAAACGAAAAACAAAGTTTAAAAAATTTATAAAAACTAGCGTAAGATTTAACATATGCTTTTCATATATTTGAAAAATTTTAGGTGCTTTGCATGTGTTTAGTATATCGGACCCAAACATGTCCTTACAAGGTTTCATCTTGAGCTTATTCGGATCTTGAGATCCCCAAGATGTAAAGTGTATATAGGGCCCGTTTGGTTCGACTTTAGGGGAATGCAAATACCTTTGAGCTAAAGGGGTATTCCGAAATGCAAGTAGTGTTTGGTAAGTATTTTTTAAAATCAACTTGGGCTAAAGGACTTTTGCTAATATTTTTTATTTAAAAAAAAAAAGGCTCCGGTGGAGCTTAACCACCAGCCATCGCTGCCTGGGGTCGCGCGACCCCGGCGACCGCCACCTGGGGTCGCCAGACCTCGGGCGTCGCCGGGGTTGCGCGACCCAAGCCAAGCATTGCCTGGGTTGCACGACCCATGCGACGCCCGAGGTCCAGCCATCCTAGGCGGCGATCGCCGGGGTTGCGTAACCCCTAGGCGGTGGTCGCCGGGGTCGAGTTAGCCCTCAGGCAGCGGTCGCCGGCTGCCGGACCTGCCTCTGGGGAAGATGAACAGCTGCGATGAACAGTGCAAGTTACATTTCGAAAATGCAACTTCTCAAGGCACCTCCACCCTTGCATTGGCCAAAAGTCCTTTAGAAATCATTCCAAATGCAATTGCATCTCCCCAAAGTAAGTAAAAAAAAGTTGTCAAACACCATTTGCATTTTGCCAAGAGACTTTAGAGCTCAAATGAGTATTTTAAATGATGAACCAAACGGGGCCATAGGGTATTTCCTCTCTTCAGGGAAGACAATAGGGAATTAAGGGCACAGGGTGTGCGGACATCAACATGTTAAAATAAGAAAAGCAGTTGTAGAGCCTGCCATCTCTATATATCAAACAAATAGGCCGCGGAGGACCCTGTGAGAGTTTCGACTCCTCAAGTTAAAAAAATTTATAAAAACTACCGTATGATTTAACAAATGTTTTTCATATATTTGAAAATTTTGAGGTGCTTTGGATGTGTTTGGTGTATAAGTGATTAGAGGGGAAGAGAAAGGATAGGATGAAGGAATAAGAAAGGAAAGCCTTTTGGAGAGATTAGTGTAGCTAATTTTGTGTGATTTTTTTTTTGGGTAAGGAAATTTTGTGTGATTTTTAATCTCTCCAAACTATACAAACCGTAGGGATTTGAAGTGACTGGTGGAGTTGCTTGACAGCCTACCTGCCCTTATCTTCCTATCATTCATGTCTTTTTGTTCTTGTTATTATCTGAATTCATTTTGTCACTTTCTAATCATCGTAAAAGTGAGATAATTATTCAATCAATCATAAATTTATTGTACGAATGTCAATTTAGTCCTAAATTACATCAGCAATTTCCGATGGCAATTGACCGGAAGGACTACACTAAAATTTCGCGCAAAGGTTTAGGACCACATTAATGAAATCGAAAATTTTAGAAATAAATCGATATCCACACAATAGTTTTAGGACTGAATTGGTAATTTCTCCACTATAAAGTTAAGACCGACAAATTTCGACACAACTCTTTCGCACAAAGCACCCAAGTTACGTAGTTAACTCCGTTTGTTTCGTAGAAAATAAAATATTTGGATAATATTTTCCTAAAAATAATTGCTTATAAATAAGAACAAATGAAAAAACATTTCAGTGTCTACGAAAATATTTAGGCAGCAATTGTTGTTATAATGAAATATTTTTCATTGACTAATTATTTCAGCAATACAAAAGATTATTTTTAGAAAAATATTTTCCAAATCTTTCGTCAAAACAAACAAACCCTTAATGTTGAGCTTGAATGAGTTCTTGTCATAAAGGAAGATAAGGCTGCGCATGGCAACCATTCTGTACCCGGGAACAGATTCTGCTAAAAATTGATTCTTTTTTTTTTCGTGCCCGAGAACAATTTCTAAGTATTTGAAGGTGTTTGGTAATTGCTCAAAATTTCTATTCTTAGAATAGAAAAAGAACAGAAATGCGTTTGGTAACTACACAAAATTTCTTTTTATTAATAATATTTTAATAATATATTTTGAATTTTTAATATTTCTTTTTCTTTTTTTCTTTTTTTTTTCTTTTTTTTCCTTCCCTTCCTTGGCCATGGCCTGTCGCCGGCGACCGGCCACAGGCCAGGGCCGGCGAGGGCGTCGCGGCCCTCGCCGCCGCCCTTGCCGTCGCCCTCGCCGCCGACCTCGCCGTCACCATATATGGGCGAGGTCGGCCTCGCCATTGCGGCCGCGAGCCGCGCTCACCCAGGCGGTGAGGGCCGCGATGCCCTCTCCGACTACCGGCAGGGGCCGCAATGCCCTCACCGGCCCTAGCCTATGGCCGGCCGGAGGCAGGCGGCGGCCGGCTGGAGGCAGGCAGCGACAAGCCGGAAAGAAGAAGAAGAACAAACCAAGAAAAAAGAAGAAAACCAAGAAGAATCAGAAATGAAAAAATTGTTCCAGAATCAAGAAACTATTTTTTTTTGCTTCTTGATTCTGTTCAAAAACTAATTCTGGGAACAATTTTTTGCAAAATTGTGCTCGGGCACAAAAAATTTGACGAACGCATTTCTGTTCCCAAACTGATTCTGGGAATAAAAAAACAGAAATTTTCACTGTTTGGCAAGTTGCCAAACGGGCCCTAAATATACCCTATGCTACTCGACTCACACTTAAACATATCTAACTATACGGGGTTTCGAGTAAAAAAGATGCGTCTCTACACATTCTTACACGATTGTGTACAATAATCAAACATGATAAACACGTCTTGCAGGAGTAGGTATTATATATACCCGAACAAACTGAGCTCACTCCATCTTCCCAACGTGAAACCCACACCAACTTAGGGGTGTGCAAAACAGACTGCCCAAACTGAAAACTGTCCGGACTGGATCGGATCGGCCGGTTTGGTCTAGTTTCCGGGAGTGTCAGTTCGATTTCCAGTTCCTAAAAGTGGAACCGGTATCCGGGTGGTCCAGTTTCTAGTTCCAAGGGGAACCGGACCGATCGAATCGGACCAACTATATATATTTTTTTGTGATTATGTGTAGTCGATACGAGGAATACAATTCCAATTTTAGAACATATGCATAGTCGGCAAGGGGAACACAATTGGTCATCGCATTAGCTCGAATTGCACGCTTGTTTTTGTAATTATGTGTAGTCAGCATGGGGAACACAATTTTAGTTTCAAAATATATGGTATCAAGTAGTGCAAAAAAAAAAAATGATCGGTTCCAGTCTCAGGATCAATCGGTCCGGTTCCCGATTCTCAATTTTGGGAACCGGTTCTTCCGGTCCAGTTCCCTATTCCAATGTGAAACTGGACCGAACCGGAAACCGATCACCCCTTACATCGATCTAATGATTGAGACGGACCGCACTCACATGCATCGCGTACACAAGCAATACTTACTCGTCGGTGCCGTTGGTGGTGCTTGAGGGCGATTCCATGGACTCCCCGAGAGACATCGTGCCCGTATAATCTTTTCACCGTCGGACCGAAACGTAGTACGTTTCGAACCGCTCGACAAGGCTCGATTTTGAACGGTCGTGAATTGTATAAACCTTTGTTCGAGATGACGGGTGAAAATTTTTACCTTGCCGGAAACCCGTGGACTCTGCCTGCCCCCTGAAAACGATAGAGGACGGACAACCCTGTCTCTCTCTCTCTCTCTCCGAACGGCAGGCAGGAATCGCCATGGCTGAACCTTCGAAGAAGACGAGTCGAAGCTTCCGCTGAAGGGTCGCCCGTCGCGCGCGCGTGTTCGTGTCGTGTCGTGTCGTGTCGTGTCTGAACGAACGCCGGCGCTTTCGAGGGGGCGGCAAATGAGGAGCTCCGGTAGCGACAAGAGTTCCGCTCTCGACAGATTCACTCCTCGTGGAAGTCGGGACGAATCCTGATCGAGGGTTCGCCGATCGAGCTCGATCTCCGTCGTGGGTGACGCCCAAAGTTGCTCCTTTAGGCGGGGCTGCGGTCCTCTCCGGTAGTTGGGTCGCCATTTCCGTCAACGACGTTGAAGAGAGCGAGAGGGAGAAGGAGGGAGAGGGGATCATGTCGTTCTCGTTCTTCAGGCCGTCGAGGCAGAAGACTTCGCAAGAGTTTGTGAAGGCGATCAAGGACAGCCTCATGGCTCTCGACACCAAAACCGTCGTGGAAGTGAAAGCCCTCGAGAAGGTGAGGTTTCGGTCTGCTTTTCTTGCCTTTCTGGTGCTGGTTATGGATGTCTCCGTTGCCATCTTCTGCAGTTAGCTGCGGTTTTTCCATCTTGCTGTGTTGTAGTGGGACCTGATCGATGGGTTTAGGGATTGGAATTTGGGAATTATCGTCCTGAATCGAGGAATAGTAGTTTTCGCTGCTTCGGAGAAGCATTCGGTGCTAGATTGTCTTTAGTCTGAATATAAGATGGAATATCAATGTGCAATCTGTGGAATTAACCTCAGAGTTCTGGAATGTGAAGAAGGCTACATGATGTATTCATACTGTACTTTTTTGTTCTTAGTGGACGACGTTTGCTTAAGATTTCTCAAATGAGAGATGGGGAATTAGAAGGAGTCGTTATTGAGCGAAATCCAACTGCGAAAAGAGCTGAATTCAATCAGTGGGTTCTTAACTTGAATTTCATTTTTCTTGAAATGACAGAAGCTCCCAGCCAGTGCACTATCTTCTTCTTTCTATAGAGCCTCTAACATGGCGACTGTTCATAGTATTTGCTGATTCCTACTCACATCCTTGTTTCAGAATTTTGTATCGGCTTAACCAATAAGGTCCTCTATGGGTCACAATTCTCCATGCGTTCTGCTGCTATTACACTTGGGCAAACATTCTTTGGATAAGTAAGTAGCATTCTCTTCTGCAGTATGGCGTAGTGGGCAGACTCTGAGGCTTCTTAACAACTTAGCTTTTGATCACAGATCTAAAAGGGAGTACCACCAGCCAGCCTCCATAGAAGTATCTCGCCTTTCGTGTAGTTTAGCTTGCCATGTTAGACTTTTATACCTTGGACCACTGTTGATTTAAGTTGTTTCGAAGCAAGGGGTGTGCAAATTCCACAGTATACTGCCTGCACATCACCGTATTAATTACGTTTGATCTAAACAAGGAGCTCTTAAAATGTCTAGTTTCAAAATAGTCCTAGCAGATTCCTCAGTCCTCCTCACAGATCTAAAGCGTACTTTGAGAGCTTGACATTGAAATGTTAGAGACTCGTGTTTGATTTGATGTTTAAGCTTGATATATTGAGGCAAGCTCTAGTGAAAACTTGAGATCAAGCTTGGACTCAAATTTTCAGTGTACAAACAGAACTAAAACCAATAGTGGTATACATATACATGTGTGTGTGTGTGCGTGTGTTTTCTGTTTTTCGTGTTTCTTGCTTTGCAAATACATCTGTGTAAAAAAGAATGCAAGTATTCAATCAATCTAGCTCAAAAGCTGCTCTAAGTTAAATATTTACGAATTGGAGATAAACCTGATTTGATCTTGATGTGTGGACTCCCCTTTCGCTCCTGAATCGACATGACCTGACCTTGGTAAGGACATGAGTTTTGTGTCAAAAAAAGAACTTGGAGTCATCTACCATCCATCATTCTGATGAATTGATGGAGGTGACTGAGGTAGAAGATAAAGAGTAGAAGCTCCAGAACAAAGTGCATGTCACATGCAAAATCAAGGAATACGTGGGCCTTGAATCAGATCTAGAATGATAGGTATTAAAACTTGGGTGAGGGGAAGAAAAACAGAAAGTAATAGTAGCACTTACCATTTGCGGGCCCTGGGAAAAAGGGCATCTTTGATAACAAAGGTTGACTCAAAATCTGATGGAACCACGGGCTAGAGGCTGAATTATCAGGTAATTTGAAAGGCACCATGTGTCCTTTAGTCAATCATGCAGTCTTTAAGATACAAAATACAGTTATGATTATGAAAAATTAATAGGAGATGAACTGCATTGTTTATTATTTGAAAAGATACAAAAGTGTTGAAATTAAAATACACATACCTAGTAAAAATGTACATGTGTTTGGGCGACCATATCCATCTTTTGGACACTTTTTGGGCGAGTCACATTGTCCTAGAGTTTCAGTTTTGGTGATCAGACACCTGGATGTGTCCATATCCGACTCCCGCGTTAAAGAATTACTGACATAGAATTTGATATTGGAGACTAACTCAATCAGAACTTATTCATGCTTGAGTAGTCTGCAAGTTGAGTTTGACTTGTTTGCAGCCTAGTTGGGGTCAAGCTGTGCTTGGATTTGGAGTTGTGGGGTAGTTAATTTTTTCTATGCATGAAATTGGAGAACATTGTCTTTGGATATTCATGTGTCCGCCTTAAGAATTAGCTTTTAAGATCATGGTCTACCCATTTCTCAAAGATCAATCAATCTAGATGTTCACTCTCCATGTTCAACTGCAGGCTTTGGAAGAAGTTGAAAAGAATTTTGCAACTATGAGATGCATGATTGCTGGAGATGGAGAGGTTGAGCCTAATGTCGATCAAATTTCCCAGCTCGCTTCTGAAATATGTAAAGAGGATGTCATTGCCCTTATAATTCACAACTTGCATATCCTAGGATGGGAGGTAGATTATTATGATGATCTGGACTCTTGAATATTAGAGACTATTTAATTGCCTTAATGGAGTAATGACCTAATGTTTGCGCAGGCAAGAAAGGATTTGGTCTATTGTTGGGCCATATTGCTAAAACAAAAGGTTGGCTCCACATATTGTTGTGTGGAATATATTGAGAATCATTTCGAGTTGCTAGACTCTCTTGTTGTAAGGTAAGAATTGTTGAGACATATTTTCTTTTGTAATAACTAATTTTTTGTCAATTTTTCCAGGCTTATAAGTTATACTCTCTCTCTCTCTCTCTCTCTCTCTCTCTCTCTCTCTCTCTCTCTCTCTCTCTCTCTCTCTCTAACAAAATGTAACAAAATCATCAGATTTTTTGTAGGTGGTGATAGCTATTTATAGATTCTATTTACTCGTATTCTGCCTTGACCATTTCATGTTATAATTGTCCTACCTAGCGATATTACTCTGACTGCTTTTGACAGTTAGGAACTTACACCGTGCTGATATTAAATTCGTAGCTGGTTATTATTGTCTCTCATTTCCGCATGCAGCTAATTGCTACTTTCTTTTGGTTGTAGCTACGATAACAAGGAAATTGCATTGAACTGTGGAAATATGTTGAGGGAATGCATCAAGTTTCCTACACTTGCAAAGTAAGATATTCATGCTAGTTAGGAAATGAGAAGTTTATTGTGAGGCCTTGAGGTCTTTAGTTCTGCAAGTTTACTATTGATTGTTAGCAAATGTTTCTATGTTGTCTTTCATTGATGGTTGCTGAGGGAGTTTCGAAGAGCATAGGCGTGCAGCACATTATGCCCACAGTCACATGCTCAAACATGCAGAATGAGAGTTAACTGCTCCTTTAATTAATAAGGGAGGTTATGGCCATGCAGTTTGTGTTGTGCTGATGCATCTATATCAAATAACTTTTTGCATTTTTCCAAATTCAAAACAAGGGTTGTTTGCACTATCATAATCCTTCCTATGACCGAATGATATGTTGGTATTCTAGAAGCAATGAGTAGATGGATGCTCGTCAGTGCTGGGTGCTTGAGATTTCATGAAGAAGTGTTGAATATTCCATTGCGATCCTCTTCTCTCTGGAGTATCTTGTGAATCTGAAATGTAATTATGCTGGTGGTGAAATGGAGCACTCCTTTACCTATAACCAACTCCAGTTATCCGTGGAGTATCTTTTGATTTCTGTCTATTTGAGATATCTAATTTCCATATAATCAAATGACATATTTTGAATCTAAGGGAACATATTTCTTTTGCAGCAGTTATCTTGGTATATACTTGTTAATATAATCTTCTTTTTACTAACAAGCGACATGCTTTATTGTGTTGGTTTTTAGGTACATTCTGGAGTCAGCGAGCTTTGAATTGTTCTTTAAATTTGTAGAGTTGCCTAATTTTGATGTTACATCTGATGCATTTACTACTTTTAAGGTGAGAGCCATGAGTTTTGAGTGCTTGCAATTTCTATTGTCCCCTTACATTTTTTAACGGGCTTGAAGAAAGATATGACAGGATCTGCTCACAAAGCATGGAGAGGTAGTTGCTGAGTATCTGAACATCCACTATGACGAGGTTAGCTGCCTCATAACTAACGTTACATGTTTCATTTTGTTTCTGAACACTTGAAATGTGCACCTGCTTTTAATATGTTATCTCCAAAACAGCACTACGCATGGCTGCGTGTGGTGTTCTCTGCTATATTAATCTGATTGTTTTGCATACTGCACCTTATTTTGGCACTCGACGAGTACTTTTTTTTTTTATTTTTATGGTAAGGACACTCGATGAGTACTTTGTAATGTGTTATCTCAATAAACGCGGTCAACTTAGTAATTTCATTGGTAGTTGGATTTATTCAATTCTGACCTTCATTTTACATGTTGGCACCGATAATAGGATGTTTTGACAATCAGCACTTGTAGTTTAAGTCATGTAACTTTCAAAGCATATTCCTAACAAGCTTTGGTTTTTCCAGTTCTTTAATCTATATGAGAAACTTTTGACTTCAGCTAATTATGTCACCAAAAGGCAATCTGTGAAGGTTAGTTGCAACCTTTGTCTTTTTAGCTCATTTTTGCTTTTGAATTATCATGACATAATACGTGTATTTTTTGAACTCAAGCTTCTCTCGGAGTTTCTCTTGGAGCCTCCTAATTCCCAAATAATGAAGCGATATATATTAGAAGTTCGTTACTTCAAGGTCATGATGACATTGTTGAAGGTATTGTATGTCTGGCTATGCTTGTCTTGTCTTGCCTTCCTCTGTGCGCCTAAAATGCAACGTCAGGACATGTTTCCAGGATTCTCTGTTTTTTGAAGGACAAGGTTGTTATCTAGAATAGGTAAATGCATTTACAGATGACAGTCTTGGAAACGTATTGCATCAACACTGGTGTTTACTTTTACTGATTAAATGATGGTCAACTTCTTCTTCCCTGCCTTTTATTCTTCCTAGTTTGTAAATGTTTCTGTGTATGTAGATTTTGCTTTCGGGAGAATTCTGCTTGAAAGTTGGGTTAGATATGTTGGGCGCATTAGCTGGTTTATTTGGTCAGATATCTCATTGACTAGGTTTGAACGTGGGTAACTTCTAAAATCAGCAGGGTTGGATGAGCCCATCGACGCAACAGCATTGATATACTGGATTTTACCGTATTATATCCATTTTCTGAATTAGTGATGTTTTCATTTCGGTCTCCATGCCGTGAGGTTTCTGATTAATAGCTGTCTTTTTTCCTTGCTGAACCAGGACTCGAGCAAAAATATTCAGATGACTGCTTTCCACATCTTCAAGGTTTTCCTAGTTCTCTCTCTTTTTTTTTTTTTTTGGTCGGTTTCCTAGTTCTTTCATTGACCAGAAGTTATCATGCTATTGGATACAAATGCTCGGAAAGATAGCCTGTGTCTTGCTAATTGTACTTATCCTATTATATCTGCAGGTGTTTGTCGCGAATCCTAACAAACCACGTGAAATTAAGGTTATCTTGTCAAAAAATCATGAAAAGCTGGTTTCATTGCTTCACGATCTCTCAGGCGGTAAAGGTAATCCTGAGAATTGATCATATATCTTCTCAATGCAGGACTAAATTTGCAGTGAGAAATTTTTAGCTGATTTTTTCATTGCACATCCTTTATTTTTCAGGTGCTGATGATGAGCAATTCGAAGAAGAGAAGGAGATAATCATCAAGGAAATCGAAAGAGTATCTCACCTTCCTACTCTTGAACAATAATTCCTCATTTAGCCAATTTCATTGCGAAAAATGAGAGGGATTTCTTTGGATCCACTGCTCACCCTTAACTACCTAAGGGGAGAAAGAATTAATGATATTAGGCTTAAATCTCAGCGATGAGGATGTATAGGTTTAAGAGTGGTTCTTGTATCCGGCCCCGGCCCTCACCTAGTTTGGTCCGACGAAAGGTACCGGGGCCAAATTCATTGTAATTACCAAGTTATGTACACTAAACTCTTAATGGCTTTCTCTTGGTCCTAATTGCGCAAAGGCTTTGTTACTGATGCCAATCTTGTCTGATTTCCGGGTCGATTCACTATATAGGTCCAGTTTGGTTGCGAGATGAATAAAGGTTAAAGTGTATCGACTTTGTATGCAGAGACTTTCATCATGGCTGCATCACTGTTGTTATTGTTGATTGGAGATAGATAACGCCTAGTCGGAGTAGAATTCGCTATTCTTGCGGTGGTTCGGCTCTGGAGTCGGCCGATTACCACCAATAGAGTTAGAGATAGTTTGTGTGGTAAATACATGGATATGTGCATGTTTTTGCAATTTCATTCTCATTCATCATTCATCATGAACAACGTATCAAGTCCACCTTTCTAGCCATTGCAGTGTCTGACTCTATCGTCTTTCTGACGATGTTCCTGCTTTTTTAGATAAGTAATCGTTTCCGAAACATTACTATTTCCTCTTGATGTCCTTTAGATAGGTCATCGATTTTGAATCATTACTCTTTCTCAATCCGAACTCCGAACTCCGAACTCCGAACGTCACTCTCTAACTGATAAACCGGGGGACTTAAGCGCCGAGCACATACTGTGTTATGTTTCCGTCGAATCTCGTATTGGGAAGTTCCCGATCAATCGGTAATGTAACCCTAACAGTGAACTTGCGGGTAATGAATTTATAGTCGATAGGATTCCTTTCGGGTCGATGAAGAATGGATGGTTTTACGAACCCTTAGCTTTACCTCGTCGCGTTTAGAAAGTTATCAGTCCCCGACGATAAAATTAACCATTGCTTTTGCAAAATTATTTATGCGTATTAAGAAGGATTACCAATACTTAAATCTGCGATTTTTTGCACGGACATGGAGACACGGCTCGGACCAAAGAACCTTCGCATCAAAAGGCTTTTTTAAGGGTTCTTCAGCTCCCAATGCCTCCTCTTTCGAGAGATGTAAAACTCAAGTAATCGCATTCACGAGCAACTTTACCAATTTCCATCTTCCAGGACAAAGCCCGGAGAACATCAATTGCTTCCATATAATCAAAAGGGTTACTAAGATTTTTAAATTACGGACACACCATTTTGTTTGATTAATGAATTTCTCCACAAAAATAAATAAATATTTGGAACATCGTTAGGAAAAAGACAAAAGAACAAACTACAAATTACTATTCATAGGGACACTTGCGTGGAATTCAAAGCAGCTCGTGAATTTATCTTTATTCTTTTGTAAGATTGTTCACGATGTTTATGTTGGTGTTACGTTACCGAGTGAAAAGGACACGGTAAATTTCTCTAAAGGTCGTCCTTCGTGTAGCGTAACGAAATTCGTATGCTATGGACCGAATTCTCCCACACCCTTATGAACATAAATGTGCAGCTTGTGGCATCAAAGTGAAGAACGAGTGATGCAGAAAGGACGATACGGCTGGTTCTTGAGAGCGAGCACCGGGGTATTCATGCTAGGAACCCTCGAGTGGAAACAAATACCATTTCAGATGATCTCAAAAGGCGGGATTGGCCTCCCATACATAAATTGGGTCGAGAGCCGAGATACCGTTATCCTGACGAGAGTCATAGCAAGTGTCGAAACCGGTTCGTCATACCAAAGTAATCCGTACGTCTCGGACTATCGTCGGTCTCCCCCCGCCCTACCTTTGCTAAACACCAAACGCGTGAAGAATCGGGTCGCGAGAGCTTCTGAAATTCCAAAAAAACGTTAAGATTTCGATTCTGTACGCTCTCACCTTTGCCAAAAATTCATGTAAAAATTGGCCACTTAAGTCACATCAATCACATGAATTTATATACACGTATATATTTATATATATCTGTGTGTGCGCGTATTCAACAGGTACAAGTGAAGGACCCCACGGGGCTCTTTTTGTAAGTGGGGACTTTTTGATGGGGGGAATGATTGATGGGAGGGAGGGGAGGGCGAAGAGGGGAAAAAAGGTTTTGGCGATTTCAAAAGGGTCAACATCGTCGGGGTACGATGGCGAAACCGAACACGGAAATCAATTAACCCCCCCGCCCCCCCCACAAAGTCTACTTCAATAAACCCCACCACACACCCCCCCCCCCCCCTAGTTGGCTAGTGGCAGTCTCGTTAATAGGCAACTTGATGGTGATGAAGTGACCCCTCGTATTAAAAAGGAAAATTCCCCCCCAAAAAAAAAAATTATAAAAAAAAGCCCTTTAAAAATTCAAGTGGAAAGATTTTTTTAGCAATCGCTATCCTATGTTCTATCAGGGCTGGAGCATGAATTTAGAGTAGAATCGGAATTCGATTCGAAGTGAACCGACCTTAGGAACCGGTCCGGTTTCAGGTCCTCGTAGTTAGTGATACGGTTCCAAAAAGAGTGAAAATAGTATTGTGCGATTTGGTTCCCGATTCTTAGATAAAAACCGAACGGGGAGTCGATGAACCATGGTTACGTGTTTTGAACTTTTTGTTGTTTATCTTATTTTATGTATTTAATTTTTATGAATTGTTGCTATTGACAAGTGGATAGTTTTGTTGTTATTTTCACTTTCATTTTGCTTGACTAAAAATGAAACATAAAAAAGGATGAAAAAAATGAAACAAAAAAAGAAGGTGGTTGGTTTCTGGGTAGATCCTAGAATCGACCCAGCAATCGGATGGACAAGGTAGGTTTCAAGTTTCGAGATACGCATGATAAATTATAGGTTCCAAAAACTATAGGAACCGATTTCAATATGATAAAACCTGCATCGATCTTGGAACCGCTAACCCCTACATTCTGTCCTCGATTCTTCCCTTTCTATCTTTTTTTTTAAAAAGGTTTCATGAAGGTGAATATGTATTTCATTGAGATTAAAATCGTGTTAAGCCTGTGCCTTTACAAAGGCCTTTATAGGTCAGGATCAAAATTTGTCCATGAGTAATAATAGTTCGTGTTTATTGTTAAACGGATATCTTTAAATATTTTATTTTTCGACAATTTAAACTTTTGGAAGGATTTTCTTTTCTTATATGGTATTGATGTGTTAGAACGACGAGAGTCATTGAACATTATTCATGATTTTCCATACCACCCCTCAACAAGGATGTGTTCGTGTTAAACTTAAACGTGTTTGAGTCATGAACCGGTTTATTAATATAATGTCGGGTTTGAATTGACTATTTAAAGTAATCCTTGGGTTAACACGACGTATGTTTAGGTACATTTAAAAGTACTTGCAATATGAAAACATACTTGTAGAACCTTTATTACATAAGAGTCCGTATAAACATTTCATGTTGTGCAATCCATTTAATTTACAAGTTATGTTTGGGTTTTAATGTCGTGACATAATTAAAAGTACTTTGTCTTGGCAACAAACCTAAATTTGACACGATGTAATTGAGAGAACGAGAAAAGAACAATCCAGAAATGAAATTGAACAAAAACATCGATAAGTCATGTACCAAATGAAATATTCCCTCCGTATTTCGTTAATGATTTGAATAGAATGACCCATTGAATCAATTTTCAAAAGTTCAAGGACAATATTAAATAATAATAAAAAAGTTGATCGAGGAAATTGAACAATAAGGAAAATTACAAAGAATATCGATGTCATCATCCCTGAGAATGACATACGGTTTTTTAACAAGTAAGTCACATTTTAAAACCTAAGTGTGCATTTTGTGGCGAGAATTCATTAATTATCTTAAGAAAATCTCTTTTTACAAAAAAAAATCGGATGAAAATAAATAAAGTGTATTTCATTTATACCAAACAAAATGTATATATCATATTTTTGCTGTGAATGGGAAATTAACCCAAAAGAAGTAAAAGAAGATCAAAATAGAAACATTTTTATTGTTGAACTAACAAAAATCACATTGCTTCTCTTGAAAAACTAAGACTTTTTAGTTGGACAGCCTCGATCTTGGCAAACTCCAAATGTCCCAAACAAACCTTTTCTTCTCTGTCATAAGTCGGCAACCTTGGCGCACATGTTGAGCGACTTCTTCGCCGAGATGGGTATATAGAAAGCGACCTTTTTATACTCTCTCTCCCTCTCTCCCTCTTTTGAACAGGAGAAAGAGTTCGGACGGGGTTGCGACGACCTACTTCACCCGAGCGGCTAAGATGTTCGGTTCGAGGCGCTAACGACGCGCCAATCGCCCACCGCACGAACCCGTCATCGAACCCCCCTCGTGCGAGTGGGGAAGCGCGATACCGGTAACTGCACACCGGGACGAATTCGTTGCCAAAGTTCCCCCAGGTGCGAATGGAGAAGTCCAACACCGGCTGCGATAAATCAACCCCGCCCACCCCCCCTCATTTCCCTCTTTCTCTCTGTCATAATGCAAATGACTCTAGAGATAGTAGCCATTCCTCTTTCAACTAGAAGCCAAATCCGTGTCTCACTCAATTAGGGCAATATCTCGGGGAAGAAAATTGTTTAAAAGCGTAAGGAAAAAGAAGAAGAGAAGTTGCCAATGAGCAACGTGGTCTGTCTTCTTTCGCACGAAAATAGTTAGGACGAGTTAACAAAACGGTTGGAGTCACTTTGGTCGATGGAATCCACCCAAGAACGTGGTTATCATTTGATGGACTGGAGCAGCAGCTGCATGTGGGATTTATGGACATGGGCACCCACATTCATGCAAACCCTCATTTATGTCCTTTTCCTCTTCTTCTTCTTTTCATTTTGTTTTCTTCATTTTCTCTTATTTTATATGTTGGTCATCAGAAAATAATGAAGTCATCAGATTTCAGATTTGCCCTGGAAATGTCCAACCCAATATTCATAACACTGTTGGCCGAAGGAAGCAGTCGAGAGACTTTTGCTTCTGGCATGAGATTGATTAGCACTAACCTGCACCCGATTCGGATAATTGTAGTAAAAGACACATGGAAGCTGATATTAATCGTTAGGGACATTTCGGACACAGATAAGTAGATCTGTACATGTAATGTATATGTCTCCATCGAATTGCGTATATATTTAAGTCAAAAGTATTCTTTGTCTAGGGGTAAACATCTGGCGGGCTGACAGGTCTACGTTCCTTATTTTAAAGTACCAATACTCGTACTCTCAGTCCACCTAATTGAAGAGAAAGTTTTTCTTCCCTCTCCCTTGGAAATATTCCAGAGTTTAAGGTTTCAAACT